AGCCCCAGCCCCCTCCCCGCGAGTGGCCGCCGGCCTCCCTCATGTGACGCGGGAACAGCTGCGGCCTGAGTCACCCGGCCGCCGAGGGAGGGCCGAGCCCCACGCTGGGTCAGGCCACGTGGACCCCACCCGGAGGGCAGCGCCCAACCCCGGCCGAGGGAGGGCGCCAGGGGCCGGACCTCAGGGTGCCTAGGACCTTCTGGCGCCCCACCCCGTGCCAACAGGGGTAGGAGGGCAGCGGGTCGGAGCGCCGCCCGCTTCTCTCCGGCTCAGGGAGGCAGAGGAGGTGAGTGAGAGCCAAAGCTGGGATGAGTGCCCTGGCCGGAGGAGCTGAGGCCGGTGACAGGATGGTCGGCCAGAGGCACCCTTGTCCTCCACCCAGGTCCCCCTGCCTCCGAGGGCTGCATCTCTATTCACTCCATCCCCGACTGCAGTGCTGTTGGCTCCCTGGGACCGGGTGGGACTAGAATAAACACTTCCGGAAAGTCCCCAGCCGCACACCCTGGGAGTCCCCCAACATTCGAGAGTGGGTGTTCCTGTTCCCCTCCGTTATCCCTTCTCCATTTTCTCCGGCTCCTGAGCAGAGCGCTGAGGAGGAGAGGAAACCCTTCTCCAGGCCGTTCCACACAGCCTGTCATGATCCTCCAGAGGCGGGCCCCTTCCCTCTGGGAAGGCACTGACAAGGCCTGCGTTCCCACCACTCCTGGGTCAGCCTGTCCGGCAGAGGCGGGGGGATGGACACTAAAGCAGGCGTAGCGCATATCCCCTGGATTTCACATCCCATCCTAGCAGACAGCCCTTCTTATCCTACAGGGCAAAGCCAGGTGAGGGCTAGAAGGGGAGGTGACAGGCTCAAGCTGCCACCCTCCCATCTGTGCCATGGGATCCCCAGAAGGAGCTGTGTGAAAGGGCCCAGGACAGAACCAGCCAGCACATTGCCACTCCCCCAGCCTGGGCCCCACCCCTCAGGTTCCTAGGGTCTTGCCTCAAGAACCACTTCCTGAGTCTTGGTGAGTGTACACAGAGACGGAAAGAAACTGTAAGAGCAAAAGGAAGGAGATGTGGGCTGGGCTGGGCACCAGTTTCCAGGATCACAACCTTCCAGCTAGACACACCAAGCCCATTGGGGACCTTTCTGTGCTGTTACCACAGCAGGCAGGCTGTGGAGGAGGATTGAAGACGCTGAAGAAAGAGGTATTCGAGGGGTGTTTTTTGTTTGTTTGGTTTTTGCTGCCTCTAGATGCCAAGCACGTTAGGCACAGGGGTGGGAGGACAGCAAGGGCGGGCAGGACTGTAGCTCTGCCCTCTACCAGCAGGCGCAACCAAGCCTCACTGTGAACAGAGGCAGAAACCTGGTGGCAGCTGGATGAGCTCAGGGAGAGGGACAGGTGATGCCTCAGCCCAGGAAGGAAAAAGAAAAAGAAAGGACTTCACAGAGGTGGGTGGTGCTTTCCAAAGTGACTCTAGAGAAGGAGCAAGCTCTCAATTCCAGGGACAAGGAAAGGGCCAAGTGTAAAAAAAGAATAGTTTACAACTCCATGGCAAGTTGGGATTGGATGGCTTAAAGGCCTCAGGAAGGAAGTGGTGAAAGATGGACTGGAAGGAAGGTGGTCTAAAGTCAAGATTAAGAAACTTTAGACACATAACAACCAGGTATAATGCTTCTTTGATTGACTCTTTGGACAAACTGTGAAAGATATTTTGGGAACAACTGGGGAAATTTGAATATAAGCTGAGAATTAGGCGTGAGAAAACATTTTTGTTAGCTGCAATGATAGGATGATTATATAGGAAAATTACCCTTTTTAAAATATATTTTTTTATTGATCTTTTAGAAAGAGAGGAAGAGAGAGTGGGAGAGAGAGAAACATCGATGTGGAAGCAGAACGTCTATCGGCTGCCTCCTGCTCCCCCTACCAGGGATCAAGCCCGAAACCTGGGCATGTGCCCTGACCAGGAATCGAACGGGCAACCTTTCAGTGCACGGGATGACGCCCAGCCTACTGAGCTACACAAGCCAAGGCTACTCTTTTTTTTTTTTTAAAGATGCGTACTAAAATATTCGAGGGAGCCCGGCTGGGCGTGGCTCAGCGGTTGAGCATCGACCTAGGATCCAGGCGATCGGGGTTTGATTCCCAGTCAGGGCACATGCAGGCTCGATCAATGACTCACTCATCATTGATGTTTCTATCTCTCTCTCTCCCTCTCCTTTCCTCTCTCTGAAATCAATAAAGATATATTTTAAAAAAATAAAATATTCAAGGGAGCCCTGCCGGGCGTGGCTCAGCGGTTAAGCATCGGCCTAGGATCCAGGCGGTCAGGGCACATGCCCAGTTGCGGGCTTGATCAATGACTCTCTCCTCATTGATGTTTCTGTCTCTGTCTCTCCCTCTCCTTTCCTCTCTCTGAAATCAATAAAGATATATTTTAAAAAATAATAATAATAAAATAAAATATTCAAGGGAGAAATATCATGTCCGTAATTTGCTTTGGAATACACTTGGCAAAGCACAAAGAAGACAGCCTAAGTGATAAGACTATTGAGAACGCAGAAGGCTATGTTGGGTATGTTTCAAAGGCAGTGCGAAGTGGTGGAGAGTTATCAAAAGAGTGAACTATCTTGGCATTGGGCCTACATTGAAATGAGGAGGAATGAATGTCAGGTGTACTGGAAGAAAGCCGGGACATCACTGCTATCGTCCAGTCGGGAGCTGATGAAGGCTGGAACCACAAAGAGGAAGAAAATCTGAGGGGGCATTTCAGAGGCAAATTAAAGGACTGGGTGACTGCTTACCTGTGGGATGGGGAGAGGAAGTAAGAAGAGTCCCAGATGACTCAGAGGGGTACCCTTGCTCCTCCCCACAGAGCAGAGCCAGGCAGTTCTCCAGGCTCTACCACCCCTCCACCCAAGGCCAGCAGGAGGGCATTATGCCCACAGGTGTTCCAAGTGAAGGGAGTGCCACCTGAGAGCACATAGGCATTGGCCAGAGCCAATGCAATGCAAAACAGCCTGTAGCCAGTGCCCGAGGCCTCCTAAAGCCCACATCCATACAAGGAGCCCAGACAACTTCTCTTCTCCACTCAGCAGGGCCCCATTGAGAGGGGGCTGCTCAGAAATGAGATTCAGTTGTTCCCAAAATATCTTTCACAGGTGCCCTGATAGGACAGGCCCATGAATTCAGAACTGCCACCTGTGAGACTGAGGAGGGTGTGGCATGGAAAAGGAAAGGAGGAAAGAGAAAGGAAGAGAAGGGCTGAAGAAAGTTGGAAGAGGGGTGAGGAGAGAGAGGAGAGAATAGAGGAGGGTGGAAGACTTGGGAAAATTTGGGGGACATGAGAGGTGAACATAGACATGAGGGACGGGTGGGGAAAAGGAAGAGAAGGAGACTGGGATGGGAGAAAGAAAGAAAAGGAAGGCTGCATCTGCATGAAGGCCATCTCACTGGGGAGGGGAAGGGAAGGGAGAGGAGGGGAGGGGGGGAGGAAGCATAGTGGCTAAATCTTAACATCAAGAGGTTGGGTGTGAGTTAGGGGCTTGAGATTTAAATCTTAGAGTCCCCAGTTTTGGATATGAGAAAGCATGAGTGCTTGATGGCAGCTCCCAGACTACAGGGTTAGATCAAAACCTATGGCTCTGCAGGTCCTGCTGGTAGAAAGGTCCATGGACCACCCCAGCACAGGCTCCACAGAGAGTCAGTGATAGATCCTGATGAGCACCAGGGCTGAGAGCAGCCCCAAGAGGAAGATACCCCACACTGGCTCTGTGGGGACAGCACCACTGAGGTACTGGTTGGTGGAGTCGCTGTGGTTTCCAGCTCTGACTTCCCCCAGCTGTCCAGGCAAGACTAGGTCACCGAGCGCACCGTGGTACCCAGGAGAACATCATCACTGCCATCGTCACCTGACATCCTTGCTTCAAGGAAAGTTAGGCTTGGAGAGATTAAGCCACTCACTCAGAGGCAACCTGAGGGGGAGAGCCAGGGTCTTGGCACACAAACTCCAGTGCCCAGTGCACCACGCACACCACCAGCAAGAAGCGCCTCGAGTCAGAAGCCCTGGTGCAAGACAGGTTCTGACCCTCACGCACCAGGTGGGGTGGCTTTGCTAAACTCTAACCCTCCCTGAGCCTGTCAGGCAGGAGGAAAGCCACTCCTTCCTCACCTCACAGGATGGATGTGAGGAGCATAGAAGAAATGAAGGGATCAGTTTAGTTACATTAAGAAGAATAAAAGCAGCCCGGCCAG